AAAAACTACACAGTAAATCGGATGCAAGGTGGCAAAAAAGGAAAAAGTTATTATTTTTAAAAGTAAAGATTATCGTTTCAACAGTGTTAAAATTATGGTTCAAAAAGTAAAAATTATGGTTAGATGAGTAAAAATTTATATGCGGATAAGTAAAATTTATTAACTGATCCTTTGAAGGTTTGCTGTTCCAGCATAGTAATTTTTACTATTCTTTACATAATTTTTACTATTCAAACCATAATTTTAACTGTTAAAATAATAATCTTTAGTGTTAAAAATAATAACTTTTTCCTTTTTTGCCACCTTGCGTCCGATTTACTGTGTAGTTTTTTCTGGAAATTCTCTATAATATTTATTCTTTTTTTCTCAGTATATCTATAATTGAAATTTTGCATACAATTTTTTTACTTGAAGTAAAAAACTTTGATTCTTGATCTAAGTAAAATCAACACCATCTTTCCTCTGAGGCGGAAAATATTTTTTTCAAGAAAATTCACGAAAAATGCCTGAAAAGCGTAAATATTGGCAAAAACCATCACCATCTTCCCTGTATTAAACGCTCTTTTGCCTCTTGCGTGAATCCCCCTTTTTTCCCCTCTGGATTTCGTTATCCATTAATAATCCCTCCCCCACCTCTCGATTTTTCTTTATATACTCGCCCACTTAGCGAATATTCAGGCTTTGTTTATTTTTCGCTTTCATTAACTCCTATTCTCCCTTGGCACGCCTTTCTCGCTCCTTTACGGCTCTTTTATTACCGACTCTTTGCCCTTTTTTTTGTAAGTTACAGGTTTAACGCCCCATGCTGCAGGATATTTTTCTTCCGCCTGCTTTTAAGGTTTTCATCCCCGGCTTATGTGCAGATATATAAATATAATGCCTTTTTTTTTCTTTTTTTTTTTCATTCTAAGCAAAGTTTCGGAAAATTGTGAAATACGTGCCGTTTATCGTGAGATTTTTTTTTTTTTTTTTTTTTTTGTGATTTTTTCAATGTGATTCATCATTCATTTTTTTTTTTTTTTTTTTCATGATTCGAAATGTATTTCATCCTCAGTACATGAAATTCAAGAAATTTATAATAATTAGGAATTAAAATTTGTAAGACTGCGAAAACTTTGATGAAGAAAAATTCATATTTAAAACTCAGCGTGAAAGTGTCACAAGGCAAGTTTGAGAAATTACAAGTCCATAATGATGTTCCCATACATTTATTCGTATTGACGACCATTAATTTTTATTTTGAGTTTTATAAAATAAATATTTTATGCAACTTTCATTTATTTTTACTAATAAAGACACAAGTCATTAAAAAACACAAACGCTAAAAGTAAAAAAAAAAAATGTGTAACAAAGAAAATCCCTTCAATCGCCCGTGCAGTCGTTGATATGATTTTTCAAAGAAACCTGCAACTTTACGAGCTCAACACAGCCGAGCGATCGTAAACCAACCGGTGCCTCTTCTGTGTATATGCGTCGATATTCTGGCATTTATATCTTTTTTTCTCTTGTTTTATAGTTTCGCGACACGAGATGTATAGTACACTGTACATGTCAAATTGCGGCGATGGTGCGTATGCAAGTGTTTCCATAATAGTATATTACGTACCACGGGACTAAAGCAAGCCAGTTCGTGGCTGTTGTAGTGTGCGCCCGAGCGTAGCGAGGGCGCTACAAGCAATAGCCACTCGCTGGCTTGCTTTAGTCTCGCGGTGCGTATACACTTTTATATCACACTCAGTGGAAAGTTCGTTACATTGAGAGGGAGAGAGATAGAAGGAAAACAAGCCATTCATTGTGTGGTTATAGGTTATATCACAAGAGTTTTTATAATTGTTTCCGATTGTGATATTTAGGATATTCCTGTATTTTTGTATAAAATATGGCAACAGTTTCGACAGTCATGTTTGAAGAGGATTCTTCTGACGAAGAAAACTTTAACGAGGATAAAGTAGGGGAAGGAAGAGACTTTGACTGTGAACGAAATGCCATTGTTCAAAATTTACTTCCCATAAAATCGAGAGCATTATATGAATATGCATACGCTCGATTCTTACAATGGAAGCATAAGAACAAGGACCTAATTATTTAACTCTTTTAATGAATGTGTTTCGAAATGTAATAATTTCAATAGTTTATTATACAAGATTGATAAAAATGAAGAACTGTAAAAATGCAGTTATTATTTAAAAATGTGTGAACAAAGAAAATTGTATAACAATTTTAATTATTTCCATTTGTTCAGAATCTCATGTTTTTTTTTGTATAAAATACACCAGCAAACAGTACATTGGCTTCTTTTATCTTGTTGATATTTCCCAAATTTGTTTGTTTACTGCAGTGTGGCGCCCTCGCTATGTTCGAGCACCGAACTACTTCAGGCACTTATTGGTTTATGTATATAGTAATATACAGTAAGATATAGATACGCATGCGTACACGCACTTATTACACAGTTTCTGTCCCTGTATACAGGGAGAACAGTACGAACTTTACGCTTAGTGTGATATAAAAAAGTTTTATTTAAAAGCTTCCCTAAATCAAAACGTTGTATCTCTTGTTTATATCTTAAAATAAATATTGTTATCTGTTTTATGCTAAGTTTTGTAACGTATTTAAAGCCAGCACCTGAAAAGAATTGAAAATTGGAGGAAATTAAAAATTAAAAAAAATTTATTTTAGCTAGAATAAGTAGAAAATATTTTGGAGAAAAAAACAACCCCATGGTTTTTGAAGAAAAAATTTACCAAAAATCTTCAAAAATTTTGCTTGCATAAAATTAAAAGATAAATTGCTTTAGAGATTGAAATTAATTAATTAAAAAAAAAAAATAAGTCATACATTATTATTTAATTCATGTACACTCGGTTTCCCATTTTGCTGAAGAGATAAAATTCTTTGCCTCGAAAAAATGTCCCATTTCAAGGGACTCTTCACGAATTTTTTTTTTTTCGTGTAACTACTCGTACACGCACGATACGCTTTTTTTCGATAATTTTTCGTTTCGCCGAGTTCATTTTTCTTCGCCAGGAGATAATAGTTGTAAATCTAACGCCAGCATACACTGCGAAAGTAGAGTGTATATATTTTTTAGTTCCACTCCAAGCCCAACACAATGTCGCTCGCGTATGCGTACCTACGCAGTGTTTACAATGACACAACATCGATATTAGAGCTTTTTATTGTGCTCACTCTGTTGATTCGAAAAAAAAAAAAAAAAAAAACTGATGCAAAGTGTAAGTTAGTGCACGATCGATCCACCTATGCGATGTGCCAGGTGTGAATTATCTCAAGGGGAGGCGATCACGAGCTGATTAGATGGCTCGCATGCCTCTAACAACCTGCTGGGTGTACTACACGTGATTTATGCTACTAAGAGGGAAAAGCTAATGAAACGGTTTCGCAACTGAGTGACGTGACGCGCGAATTTAATCGGTTGATAAGGCGAGTCGAGACGTTCTTTGCATGCTTTTTTTCTAGGGGAAGGATTAGAATTTAAGTTTACCAGCAGTGAAATTTGGGTAAAATTTTTCTCACGTACAGTAACTGTTTTAGATATGAATACTTGAAACAGTTTGCGAAACAAATTTATTCTAAAAAAATATTGTGTTTTTGAGCTTAAAAAATTATTCATATTACTATTCACGTTCGCAATACTTGCTTTCGATAACAAATAATGCATTACGTTAAAAAAAAGGGAAAATTTAGAAAAAAATGTTACAATATTTAAAAAAATGTTTTTAAGCAGGTGTCCAAAAACTATTTTTACTAAATTTAACGGAAGTAATTGAAAATAAAAAAAATTACAGTACAAGTATTGTAGTACACTTTTGAAAAACATTTTTTTGTTAAAGTGCTCAAAAATTTTTCAAATAATTTTGATTTTTAGACATGTGTTCACAGGTACTGACGAAAAAACATGACAACAGTTTTATTATTTAATAAGTACATAACTTTCATTGCCCAAGTGAAAAAAATTAATGCAAGCAATTATCAATTTTGCTGTTTAAACACGAACCTATCATACTTATCAATAAAAAAAAAATTATTTGATAAGAAAGATGGAAAATAAACAAAAAATTAAGGTAAAAGCAACAAATTTTTTTTTTTAATTTTTACATATTTATGTAGCTTTGAAAAATGTTTTACACAGAAGACACGCATTTTACGAAGTACTTAAAAGCATAAAAAAAACTTTGCTGGTCTCAAGTGCGGTGCAATTGCCCATAAAATTTCTTTCACCCCTTCTTACCTATTATATTATATCTGCGTGTTGGCTGGAAGAAGTGTTATTTCGTGAAATCACTACTTTTGGGCCACAAGGGCGTAAAATAAGATCTTTGGTGAGTGTCAAATTTTTTTCTGCAGGCAAGGGAAAAACAAAAAAGAAACAGATGAGGTTTTGTGGAATAAAAGGCGTTGCGTGAGCAAAAGTTTTGTTTTTTTTTTTTTCTTTTATTTTGCGACAAAAGTGTTATAAAATGAATTTTTTCCCGTTCGTTTCGTCATTTCTTTAAAGGATCGCAACCATGATACAAGGTGATCTTCACGCAATGCAAATAACGCACATAAACGTCACATAGACGATATTCTATTTCGCTTGCATAATCATAATAGTAATAGTACAGTAATGATAATTATAATTTATGATAATAATAAAAATAATGTAGTCTGACTTATATAAAATAAAGATTACAAGCATGCACTTACATCGTAGTGATGATTGAAATTAATTGTGTATATGTACGTACTACGGATTAGTAATGGCAATTTTTTTTTCTTTTCTTTTTTTACAACAATTTGTTCAATCTCCAACTTTACATTCAGAAATGTAATATTCATATAAATAGCCTTTTTTGTGTGATCCTCTTCATCGATCTACTTAACCTACCACTTCATTTGTTTGTGCACATACAGTTTCATAATTGAGCAGGGTAGCGTGTGTATATTTTGGTGATAATCATACGTGTGTATTCTATATTTTTTTTTTTCGTTTTTTTTTTTTTCTTTTCATTACTAATAATCGTTATTTTTTATTTGTTTCTGAATGCAAATACAGAAATAAGAGAACTAAACACGTGCAAAATGTACAGACATTCAGAGAGTTCGGTGAAATAAAAATGTGTGCTTATCGCGACTGAACGTATACAAGTGTATCGCCTGTGTGTCGACGAATTACTATGTGTATGGGTATTTTTTATTTTTATAAATTAATACAATCTTGAAATATGATGGTTTCATTTACGCACAGAGACTCCGGTACCACGAGAAACAAGGACGGAAAGCATTGTATTGGGTGGTTTGTTTTTTCGTAATTTGTTTTTTTTTTTTTTTCAACTATTTTTCCAATATTATTAATTTTTAATCGTGACAGCGCATTTTCGGTAGTTCACGCAAGTGACATTACAACAAACACATTGTTGCGACACGCGAGTGTACAATTTAGTTTACATCCCCTTTGCTCGACCAGCTCGGCAGCATTTTGAAATTTTTTTATTTTTTATTTTACAACATCCTTTCACAGATGTTAATAAATTTCTTTTCCTAGCTTGAGGGTAACATACATATTTGTTATGTTGACATTGCTCATATCATCGTTTGAGCTTCATTCTGTTTGACGATTACGTCTAAGCTAGAGCTCGTTTCTCTCCATCAGGAGGTACACATAAATCATTCGAGCCACGAAAATTGTTATCAAAACCAAATATATATACTTTTTTGTTGTTCAAACAATAAAATATGCCTTTAAAATTTCGTCCCTATGTACTAAAAGCAGTATGGCGCCCTCGCTATGTTCGAGCACCGAACTACTTTAACCTCGAATAAAAAGTTCGTACGCGAAAAAAAAAAAAAAAAAAAAAAAAAAAGTAATTTTCACAAACACCATGTACGTACTATTATTTTAAGTTACGTGTACGTATTGTAAAAATTTTAATCGTACATACATATACATATACATATTTTTATTTTATTTTACACATTAGCAATTCTGAAGCTTTATCCGCGTACTCGTTGAGGAAAAAAAAAAAAGAAAAAAAAAATGTAAAAATTAAAATCCATCATGTACAATTTATATATAAATAGAAAGAGAAAGCACTCGCATATAAAATCTCTTTTCACAGCTTTAGCGAGTAGCGCACATCGACAGCAAACACTTAAGGAGCGAAATGTATACTCGATTGCGTTGCAATCAACTCGTCGATCCACTGATTGGAAAAGCCATTCATCCATCCGTCCTCTCCTCTGCGCCATCAGCGGTTAGGCAATAAGCTTCCCAGCTTCCACACCACAACTCACTGTGCGTGTATATGTGTGTATAACATGTGTATGTGTCGTCTTTGTGTCGATCAAAATTTCCAGACTGATCTCGAGTTGCGTATAATCGTCGAGTGTATCGTCCGACGTTCGGTCGTCGGGTGTAATGTGTACGTGCATTGTTTTTGTTTTAAATATATATGTATATATACTCTAATAATAATTCAAAACAATTAAATTATCTCGCACATATAGCATTTATATCAATCCTAAAGTGTAAAGCGTGTGGGTTGCCTTAATTGTTTTTTTTTTATTTTTTTTTATTTTTTTTTTTTCATTATCATTATCATTTTTTTTTTTTTTATGTCCTTTTCACTTTTTTTTATGATCATTATCATCATCATGATAGATGTGTATGCATGTATGTGTGTGGGTGTGTGTGCTATATATAGAGTACTTGAGTATATAATATAATTATATATACAGCGGTGTGGTAAGGAGTGTCTAAAGTAAAAAGTAATAATTTTCTTTTTCCGTATATTATAAATATACCTAGGAGGTCGAGAGACAGGAGGGCCACATTGCATTAGGATGCCGCCACCCCGAGCCGGGACTGCCGTACTGTAACAGAACACCCAAAGCGTGTATCAATTTTCTTTTTTTCTTATCGTAAAAACACTTTTTATTAGTTCAATACTCTTTGAGGATTTTAGACTTTGGTTTTCACAAAAATTAACTTTTATATCCGTTTCACTGTAAATGCTACAAAGAAAATATTAGTTAAAGTAATTTTTACCGTAAAATTACACCAAAATGGATTTAATGACCTTTATAATTAGAAATTCCTGATAAAAGAATTTTACTGTAATATTATGGTAAAATTTATTGCTGTTCTTTCCTCCGTATGTATAAATGTAAAGCGATTTCGTCTAAAATCCTCTTGACATGGTTACACGTGTCAAAGGCTTCACTGACTGTCATGGGATGTCAATGAAGTCCAGCAAGGGTTTAATGACCGTGTCAAGCTCCGTCAACGCAATTACTGAGTTCCTCGCGAATGAAGTTTTTTTGGTAGAATTCAAAGTTTTTTTTTTCACTGTATGAAAAAAAAAAATTACGAGTAGAACGTAGATGAAATTTTTCGCCAACGAGATTCGAGAAGTGTGTGGTACGCGACATTTGCATTTTTGCGTTCCCCGTGAGAAATGCGATGGAAAAGCGTCGACGAATAAATAGAGAAGAAAAATGGGGAAACACTTTTTTTAGAGTAAGAAAAAAACGATGTAATTTATTTTGAAAAAACTAGCACGAAAAATTTCCAAAATTTTTGAATATCAAGGAATCCGAAAAATTCATTTCAGTCTTGCTGAGAAAAAAATGCAACTTGTGAAACCGAACATAGATAAAAGAAAAAGAAGAGTACAAAGCTCTTCGTGACGTTGCATGGTTTTTACAAAATTTAATTTAAAAAATACAATCATATTTTTAAAAAACTCAAGAACATTGTTGAAGGAGCTGCTGTTTTTGACAAGATTACATGCCTTCGGGGAATAAAAATAAAACAAAACAAAACAAAAACACATCAAAATATCACACAGGGATGTAAAAAGGCTTTTTAAAACGAGGGAGAGGGTAAAAAAACTCAACACGCTTTCAATCGTTGCTGTTAGTAGAAAAAATTGGTATTGCATCGACAGCTGTTCAAGTATGTAAATTATGAAGCAAAGCTGTTATACTTTGCACGCAACGGTGTCGTGTATTGTCATATATTAATTGTTAGATCACTTCATTCGACAAGACATACTGAGAAACGTAAAACTGTGATTTTCTGTATAGCAATGAGTTACGAAGAAATTTTTATTATTAGTATGAATTTACGTGTACCATAATATTTTTCTCAAATAATAGCCCTCAAATTTTTTTTTTTAGTAAAGAAAAAGCTATTCGTTTGTGAAAAAAACACATTTTTTAAACAAATGTAAACTTATTTAATAAATAAAAGCATAACTACTATGTGCAGCCCATCTTTTGAGAAAAAAATCTGCTTCTTTCAAACAAAAAACTTTAAACATACAGCTACTCTACGGATTTTACTTATTTACATTGATATTTTTTTATTATTTTTCGTAGCAGTCAAAGGTTTGATGTAAAATCGAAAACTTTTTTGGATATTGGTAAGTTTGTGGTCTTTAATAAGAACCAACATTAAAATGATCCTATCTCTAGAATAAACATTATACTTTTATTCCTATGAAATGAATAAAATTTATATGAAAGAAATGTTTGCACCCCATATTCATGTAAAAAAGAACTATATTATGAAAAAAAATTTTATCAAATAATCGCATTAAAAGTATTTACGAATTAAAATGCTTTAGAATATTTATCACATTCACAAAATCAGTAACACGTTGTTTTTAATTTTTTTTCTTCGTCAGTTAAAGATTATTTTTATGAGCATACGTCACATAAATACATCAAAACTTTATTATTTAAAAACCATCTCCATCTGCGAAGCAAAAATCTGGTTAGTATCTATTCATTCTCTTAAAATAGAGTCTTACGTACTATTTACAAGACTACACAAGAATTTCAATGAAAAAAAAAAAAAATTTTATTTCTGTTAATAATACAGTACTTAAAAACTTTTCCGGTAAAACTAATAGCTTATATTTTAAAAGAGAAAATAATGTTCAAGTGTTTGAAAAAAAGGTTTAAATGTTTATTTAAATAATTAAAAATAAGCCTTATTTTCTAAAAATAAATTGCGTTCAGTAAAGTAAACACATGATATTTAAAAAAAATAAAATAAAAAACTGTCAAGAAAAAAAAAATATTATTTTTGTCGACAAATTTTATTTAAAATTGCTAAAAAATATATGAAAAAATAAAAAAAAAATCCAAATCTCGTATAGCAAACAAAATACGAAGAAAAACAACAAAAACCCGCAGCCCTGGAAGCTTATCAATCAAAAGCCCGGAGTGAAAAAAAATAACGCGTGCACCGTCAGTCATCAAGTAGGTGTATACATTATCCGCTTGACGCGTCGATGAACCCCTCAAGAACTAGCCGAGCAAGTTGTGCCGTCGCGAACTTTGCTCGAAAATTCACAACGACGTTAACGAGTAACGGGGGGGGGGGTAATGATAATAATAATAATAATAAGGGCCCGCGCCTCCCGAGTTTTCGACTAACGTCACGCGAACTGTTGTTGCACGCAAAATCAACGCCTCGGGCCGACCCTGATAAGAAGCTCGAAACTTTATACCATTATACTCTGGAAGATTATTTCGTATAGGGTCGCTAAGAAATAAAAAAAAAAAAAAGCCTACGTGCAATACGTATTGGTCCAGCGTCGAGAATCGGCGAGGTTTTTAATTAGCTTTGCAGCAAAGTTTACAAGCAGCAGCGAGAAGTCCCCGGTGTCCTTTAAAACCAAGATTTTTCGGACTTTCAGAGTGTACAAAATAATGCTAATTGGAAAAGTTTAATTTTTTTTCAGTGAATTTTTTGGCGAAAAATCTTAGTGGTGGACGAGATTTTTAGAAGAAGAATAAGCCAGGCGCGTGTGTGAGTGTGTGGTATACCTTCACTTAACAAGAGCAGATTTCCGGTGATTCATGTTAAAGAATCGGAACTGCAGTTTCAGCGTTAGGTCTTTCCGTACTGTTGGGAAAGAATGAAAAAAACAAAAAAAAAAGAAAGAAAAACAACAAAGGTGTCGTAAGTCGGTTTAAGGTAAAATTTTGGAGTTGGTATATATACGAGTATTTTCAAACAAAACAAAAGGATATACATAAATACATTTTTTTTTAAATTGTATTTTGAGCGACAGATTATTAAAATGGCTTGAAAGAGGAAAAAATAGTCGAATTCAATTTTAATATTCTGTCTGAAAATTATCCTGGAAAAAAATGCTGCCTGCCCTATTTCCATTGGTCAATATTCTTGTTGATTTTTTATCTATCAATGTACGAAGTGTTGTTAAAAAGAGAAATGTGATGAATTGCATATACTTTGGCGTTATTCGATAGTTGTTAGAGCAATGGTTAATTTTTTAATTACGTCTTCTACTGTATAATCGAAAGAAAATAGGGTATTAATACATCATTTGGTTATTTGATCAAAAGTGTCTTACAAGCGGACTTGGGCATAGATGTATTTCTTCCATTGTTTTGAAGTACAATTTTTTGCAAATAAAATTTAAGAAAATTTTTATCAGGAAAAACAATGCATTAAAATTTGGGAAAAAAAAAAAAAAAAAAAAAAAGAAAAACAAAATGTTTGAAAAATAATTTAAATTTCTCAATAATAAAGATTAAAATCTCAAATTTATTTCGCTTGTCTGGCAGAAAAAGAGTTTTTTCAGCACGAAGGATACAATTTGTGTTTTAAAAATAAACAAAATAATTGTACCCAAGTCTGCTTTCAAGCTTGATTACGTTGGTTAATAGATTGATAAAAGTAAAAGCCCGAGAAGTGCTGATACTAAAAAATTCAATGAATGAAAAAAGAGTTTAGCTACTAGCTGTGGAATTTTACAGAAATATTTTATGACAGTTGTGTCTTTGTACTGAATCGATTACATCAAGATACCTATAAAACTGTGCATGTATTTTAATAAATAATGAGAATTTTGTCGACGAACCTATGGTGAATTGTATTATTTCGTGATGATACTGGTTAGGAGGACAATCTAAACTACTAACTTTTTCAACACATTTATAACCAACAAGAAGTTATCAAATGAAAAATCAACGACACGACGCTACATGTGTCTTTTAACTAAATCAAATCCCTTGTTAAATAAACTCCAGTGACTCTAGTAATAATTAAAATAGAAAGTTTATACCCAATTACTTTTTTCCGCATAATAAAACGTCGAACATGACTTTGTTAATAAACGAAATTTTTTCAATTGAGACAAGTTCTCTCTTCGAACATACACATGAACCATTAAATGAAAAGAGTTAAAAATTGACGATATTGCAACTCCAATTTTTAAAACTGATGAATAAAAATATCATACAGATAAAATTGTAGTCAAAACATTAAATGAAACCCTTCTTCTAAAAACCGAAGAAACAATTTGAACTCCAAACCATCAAAAGAGTTGGGAAAAAAAAAAAAACATCGTCACCACTGGCGTCTACTCACGCACTCCTCGAGTACAAAAAAAAGGGAAGAAGAAACATTGTTTAGGTCATGCGGACGAAACCGCCAATGTTGGAGCCGCGCGACAGACGCTCCGCCTCTTCGTCATCCTCGTCCTCTTCGACAAGCGCGGGCTCCTCGAGTACTATTTTCATGATCATTCGCAACTTGCGCGCTTTCTCCACGCGACACACTATGGTTCCGGGCAACATGAAATTTCAGGGCTGGTTAAATTGACGCTTCGATCTTAGTTTTTTTTATTAATTTGTACCATGAGTTTCGTTGAAAAAAAAAAAAGTCGATACAAGTGTAAAACATACAAAAATCGGCGAGAAACTTTTTTTTTGGGGGAAAAAAAAAAAAAGATTATTGGAAACATGTGTGAATGAAGAGGGAAAAAACGTATGAACAAGGAAAAAGGACTTTTTTCAGGAATGGGTTGTAAGTTGTTTTGTTCAGCAGCAAAAAAATATTTACACGGTATTTACACATGACAGGAAAAAAGCTACAGTAACGATACAAAAACATGTAAAAAACGCACGTATAAAACAATACTTTATCGCAACGAGACAAACTATAGACAGCACGAAATTTGTTCATTTTTTAAAATTCAAATCAAAACAAAACTGATCTTTTCAAACTCCGAGTCACTGGTAGTAGGTTGTGCTACTAGAAATTCCAAAAAGGTAGTATAAGCACCAGCATATGTGATATAAAGCAAGTAACACGCCTAAATTTTCAATAAAATCCTTTAGCTGTCACTAACGATGACTTGAGTGATAGCATGTTTGGTACACGGGTCAAGTCCATCGGGAAAAAGCTTGTATACATAAGCGTGACAATTGGGGGAAAACTTGGGGATTTTTTTTTTTTTTTTTTCTATAAAGTAGTAAACATTAAAAATCGTAAAACTCGTACCAGTGAATTCAACGCTATACTCTTGGTTTTTGATTCGCTTTACTGAAAAAAGAAAAAATCTTATTCTCAGTCAAGACCATGTATGTCATGTTAAGAAAGTTAACGCAAAATTATCGCAAGGTTCACGTGTGGATGTAGACAAGTCATAAATTTATATAATACGGACGAGACAAAAGGATAACTCTTTCAAGTGCGGTATAAAACGTTGCAAGGGTGGAAACATAATTTTAATGAACGAATGCACAGTTTGGGGGACGGGGGCAGACACTAAAGAAAGACACACTGTTTTATTTGGCAGTTTTGCTCTTTTTTTAGGGTATCATAATTACCTCGATGGCCGCTAGCTAAGACAGAATTATGAGTAAGTGATAGCGGATTCATATTGTGATTGGTGGTGGTGGTGAGTATTGCTACGTTTGAAATTTTTTTTTATAGGCACTAGGTGAGAGACTACTACGAAGCGGTAAGTGACACGAATTTTTTAGAAGCATTTCGTTGCATAATCCTCGTTGTCAGCCATACAGTTGCTTCCATCTGCAGTGAAAAGAGCGAAAGTTGTGTGAGACAGAAAAGTGAAGATGAAAAGAAATTTAAATAAATAATGTTACAAAATTGCAGTAGATCGATAGGATTAGTTTACAGTAAAGCGACGGATATAGAGTGTTATTTTGAGCATCTGAAAATAATGAGTGATCGGAATAATCAATATTGACGTTTCCTGAAAATAATCTATTGATTAATCAAGTTTCCTGGTTTCAGTCCACAAAAATGTTCTCGATCTGACCTAAATATATAAATATAAATCCGCCTTTCTCTATCAACTGACGGAATAATTATATAATGAATTGAGAAAAAAAACTTGGATGTACTTACTCCTATCAATGTTCCGCTGTAAGTGCGCCGCTACTCTATGTCTTGCGTCGTTGAATTCAAGGTGTAGGCCGAGTCGGAGGAGTGAGGGGTTTTGCTCAACTAAATGTGTGATTTCCATTTCGATTTTGTTACCCAATACTTGAGACCTCTAAAAAAATTTGGGAAAATTGCTGATTCACTATGCTGTTGAGACATTTAAAATTTAAAAATGCTTAATAACAAACCTGGTTTGAACATCTGAATTCCTCAACAGACTTTGTCTTGAGAAGAGCTCTGACGAGTTTCACTATCACAGGTGGGCTTATAAAATTCGTTTCAACGCTAAAATAAAAATAAAATACATTTTGTTTGTGCAATAAATACTAATTTTATGAAATATATACACATAGGTATCAAATACTCACTTCAATACACGTACAGTTGAATTCTTCTCTAGGGTTTCTGACAGTCTCAGCGCAGTCTTGTCTGTGAGTCCCACGTTTGTTAAACTGAGGGTTTCTAGGTGTGAGTTGCCTTCCAGAGCTTCAAATAATTGGATGAATTTTTCATCAGATATGTTCTGCAATAATACAATGTTGTACAAATAACAAGCAACAATTTATTAACACTGTGCTGTATTATCAAGTACCTTGATGTTATTCCAGTTCAAATCAACCAGCGTGTGATCGTCTTCGCGAGTTCGTTTGATAGTCTCATCGATGTCTGTATCGTTGGGTGGATCCATTGGGTAAACTTTCGGTTGGCTGGCCTTTGTCACACCGTCCCAGCCAAGGCCAACTGGTTGCCCGGAATTCAGTAATGACGCATGGTATTGTTCTTGGTTCATCATCGAGTGGAAGCCAAGAATAGCTGAACAATATATTTATATATGTTAGTACAATAAAATTACTGCGAATAATGTATTCGTGTATTCTCTACCTGCCAAATCGATGATTTCATCTTCGGTGGCATTCGACAAGGCTTGTTCGTACTCGTCACCAAGATCTATGGCGATCTGTTCATCTGCTTCTTTTTCCTTCAAGTTTTCTCTCATAGGTGGCACCCACTAAAAATAACAGAATTAAATTCATCAATCTTTTTTTACCGGTTGCGTAACTTTGACAAATTATTTTCATCCGCAAAATAAAACGTTTCTATTTGTGATTATGTAACCAAACAAAGATGTTATTGAACCTAACAGTTTGAAGAGATTAAAAAGATCAATACGTTGTGCAGACAGCCAATTTCATTACATAAGAGGTAGGAAGTGCATTGTTAAAGTGGATGTGTTAATATAGGTGCCTTAAGCCTTACAGTGTCAATAGGTAAATACTTAATGAATTTAAATATAACATACTGCTTAGTCTATTTCAATACTGTTTGTCCTTGCAAGCCGTTTAAAAAATTTAGCTATTTGAAGGACACGTATTGTCAACAATATCAAGTGCCATATGTAATAGAGTTGTATACAATCAAAGTAAAAAAAAATTATTTGGGAGATTTAGGTGCTTTGATTGTTTCTCCACTGTACTTACTTTCTTCCCTCTAACAGTACCAGGCACATATGGCTTCAACTCGGGAATATCTGGTGTCTCCAAAGCTTGTTTGTTGATGTGCTCAATCAGTTTCTTGCGATTAAGTGGTCCAGTTGGGCTCTTGGAGCACTCATAACTGCAGCGTTGCGAGGGAGGCATGAAACTGTCCTAAAAAAAATCAATAATCCCACTCAGTAACAATATGTTTGCCAAAAACTTTTTTACAAGATCTACATGTACATGAAATTTCTGTACTTACATCAGGATCCACTTCCTTAGCAAGTATGTTGATTTCATCTGGAGTAAGTTGTGCCAAGAGTTCATCGACATCAACGTCGTCGTATTCACTCAGGTCCTTACCGTAAAGTTTTGCTGCTGTCGTCATGGTGGTTGTTTTTTTGGAGGCAGACGTCTGGAAATGAAAAATAAATTTTTAGTGTTCAAAATTCTTGAAAGTTGCAATAATGAGCATGTAATGTAGTTTGTAGGTCAAGTAGAACATAATCTTTTTATTCATCAGTTATCTTATCTATCGAAAAAAAAATTTTCTTTGTTCATTACACTAATAAAAAAAAACCTCTCCGAGACACAATGTTTTTAGAGGCTTAAGAAAATAATTGAATAGCAACTTTAGCTCCCAAGTAAAGAAGGATTTTATAATCAGTTACTCAACCAACTTGTACAAGGCTCAGTTTTAATGCCAAGAGTCACTCAACAACAATTATTACGTAGACTATCACCTCCTAATAAATATTGTACCGGTAATTGGCTAATTTCACGTCACGTCGAAATATCTGACCAGTTATAGATAATTTAATGAATTAAATTACTTGCCCCACGTCTGAACTTTAATTCTTATGTAACATTAGCCAAATTTTCATTCAACAAAACTCTCAATGAGACACGCATGTAGTAAAAAAAAAAATTTTGTTGCACTACTCGTACTGTTAAACTAGTCAGTTTCAAGTGAAAACAAAACTCCACAAATGATCGATGAGACACTTTCAACGTATTCTAAGGGACAAAGGATCCACCAAGTTGACAGGGAGGACTGATAATGATTTCCACCACCAAAAACGATGAGAACACAAACGACAAAATCCCAGACCCCAAACAATCATCCCAACTTACATCGGAGTCAAAAGACTCGTTGGACTCCACTGAATCCTCTCTCTCCATCTTTAAAAGGCCCAATGCGAACTCTCTCTCTCAATCGACTGTTATCTTTTATCAATCAACTCGTAAGAGCGTGTACCTAGAGCAGACAGCAAGTAAAGTATCACAACTGTCAGACGCAGTGACAAGCGTCGAGCTCATATACAAGGGGCAGCTGTGGCAATAATAATGAGAGAAAAGACTAATAAGCTGCAACTGCAGATAAGAGTCGGGCAGTCGTCCAAATCGAGCGATGCCCTTTAGCCCCAACCTCTACACATGAGCATCGAATTATAAATATTTGCGTGATGAAGCATTACTCAGAGGTATAAAGGAGAGTGAGATAAGAAAGAGAGAAGTACACCTGCACTCTGACTCACCTGATGAGTGTGTGTGTGTGTGTGTGTGCAGTGCAGCGAATAATCAGCCGGTGATATTCTTGAAGACGACGACGACAATAGTAAGTATACAACAATACCAGGGCTTGTGTGCTGCAGAGAGAAGGAGATGCGGCAAACCTCGCCCAAGCAGTGTGTCGCCTGTCCGACACTGTCCGTCGGCGCCGACGCACTATTTAATTAACTAGGAATGTATAGGTAAACACACACGTACACATGCAACGGCGACAATAATCACCGTGACAGCGACCCGTTATTTCACTTCGCTTTGATATATATCGTTCTAATTAGTTAAATAGATAATTATATCGGACGATTGAGTACTTTTTAATTGAACCAACACAAGCGTCGATTTGTTGTTGTTGTGATGAATGATTTCGAGGTTAGGTCGGTGATGCCAGTGACGTCATCCAGCTGGTGTGCAAAGAGTGTACTATTTTATTGCCAATCGATGTGACAAAGTACAGATCAGATCCTTCATCTCATCGTCGCGGAAACAGACTTTGCTTTATTGATTTTCAGAGTTGAGTGTTTTTTATGGTATGTTAGGGGGGAAGAGAGAAAGAGATAGTGCTCTCAATCTCTCGGGTGTTTTGAACTGGTGTAGTATGCGGTGTATTACACACAGGTATACTACACTAGAGAAAAAGGCGGAAGCTAAGATGCCGCGTTTGAATTTTTCGGAGCACATGAAGCAAAAGATCGTATACTTGATGTGTTTTACTGAATAAACTGCACCATTTGTAAACTATATCTACCTATAGGGGTATACTTAAATGAATTATTTAACATCATTGTGAAGAGTTTTTTATTAATCCACTGGGTTATTTCGAAAACGTATGAAAAAAAAAAAAACATGACGTCCGGGATGTCCCACGAATAATTTGTACGTAAATTTATCAACATCAATAAATAATTGATTTGTTTATTTTTGTTTCATGTTCATAGAGCCAGACATAAAAATTCAGTTGATTCGTCGTCAGGGATATTATCAATGTAGCAGAGAACCGTACCAAAAAAAAAAAACAAACGGGTTTTTGGCCAAAAATGGCACAAAAACAATTTGGACCTCGGGTTTGTAATCAGTGATACAAATTACACGATGGAAATCGTTTTCGTGGAGAAATGTGCCCTTTTTAATTTTCAACAGAAAAAAACCAGTTTTTTCGGCCAAACATGTCAAAAAACTGGCAGTAATAATTTACGTTACTTTAAATATTTACACCTCCGATTTGTGATAAGCTGGCTACCAAAAAAACAGTTTTGCTCGCAATGCAGGATTTAGTGGTTGATGGATGAATGTTCCTGAAGGTCTAAGGAACTCGTGGAAAAAAGAATTTATGGCTATCTATTAATTCACTAAATACCAGAGAAGTTCTTCAATTCAAAAAAAGCTGATGAGACAACTAGGATACCTCAAGCGTACATGTCAAGATTCGTGTTCAGCAGAAAAATATATGCCAATGATATGAAATGATTTCAAACAAACATACATGAGACAGATAGAAAAAAAAAAAAGAACATCTTAGGAGTTAGTATACGTGTAAATCAGAAAATCACATACAACTTGTATATTGTAAATGCAATTTTTTACTGCGCACAATATGTGTTTAATATATAAATTATACACCTTTTTTGCCATGTGTTATGAAACTAAAAAAAAAAAGCCCGATCGCTGGTTGGTATAAAAAAAGCTTACTTTCCATTTGTAGATATCTTTGTCAATTTGAGCTCCCCATTATAAAGGTATTGAAAGTAGTGAAATTACAAAATATCGATAGTGTCTTTACTGCCATATGTTAACTTTGATGAAGCCAGTACTTATAAATACATGCAAGAAAGTTAAGAAATCCGATAGCACTCCGATCGAAAACATTTCCTGGGAGTCCTCAACTACGAAATATCAACATAACTTATCATAAGTTTAAGTGGTCAAACGTGCATACACCTGTTTAATCGGCAAGTGTGTGGCACTGAGTAACTTTTTAAGAATGACATCATCGCTGACTCACTCTATATTGTAACTTCGAACGGTAGCACGAAAGAGAGAAACGTTTTGTAAATAACATGAATTGTTTATTTTGTTGACTTGGACGGGAACCCGATAAGTGTTGTTACTCCTTGCAGCAAATCAAATGGTTTTCCAACTTTTCATTCCGTATGTTGATTTTACGACGATTTTTATGAAAAAAAAAACAATTTGAAAATTGATCGGTACATTTTTTTTTTTTTTTTCAATACCAATTGCTTTGATGCAAAAACACCTTTTAGCAATCCGGAAAACGTGCCAAGCCAACGAATGTATTATATACATCGAAACTTCATTTCCGACGCGTACACATTACCGCAGTTTAAGAATAAAATATTACTTGGGATCGTTAACGATATACGTCCCTCTTCCCCAGCTGTAATCATCGAAGCGCGGCCGTGTTATAGCTGCATTTATCATATTTGCATTGGCAAAATTTATGTCCAAAAAAAAAAGGTTGAAATTTTTTATGCAGCCTTTCATTGAATTCTTACAGAAGTGTGTGAGTCGAAACTATCTTTTCTCACGGTTATTGTTTATTTGTAAATTTTAGACTCGAAAAAACGGAACACTTGTGATTGTACAGCAGATTAAAAGTTTTCAATCGAGGAATCCAAAACTATCATATTACATGTAATTTACATTGGAATAATATTTAATGAAGGATCGAAACATGTATGTAAGGATACTATGTGGATCGAAACAAAACCAACTGTATCAATAACAAATAGTGTCTCCAATAAATAATATACTTGGAATTGTACAGAAGATTGAAATTTTTTAAACGAGAAATCAAAATTTTAATATTTATGGTACTAACAATCCTATATCATTACAGATCGAAACATTATGTATAGAGATGATAATATGTAGATCGAAACAAAACAAAAAATTATCAAATATAGTGTCTCTAAAAGAGTATATACTTGTAATTAACCAGGAGATTAAAATTTTTTAAACAAGGAATCGAAATTATCATGTTCATGGTAATAACGACCCTATATCACTAATGATCGAAACACTATTTATTAGATAATATGGGGATCGAAACAAAATCAACTCCATCAAAAATAGATAGTGTCTCTAAGACAGTATACTTGTTATTGTATAAGAATTTGATATTTTTCCATGAAAGAATCGAAATTATCGTATTCAAGAAAATGACACCCCAGAGTCGAAACATGTGTACAATGTACCGTGTCGATGGGAACAAAACGAATTTCATTAAAAATCAAAGTAAACAGTGTCGTCTCTTTCGGCTCGTGTCAACGTATTTCTGTGCTTTTCCAAAGTTTTCCCAAAAAACCAACTATTACCTTGTCACTTAAAAATACTCTCTTCGAAACACTATACTCATACCGATCTCCGCTACGCCAAAAATCTCGATTCGACGCGTCCGCCCCTCGCATACTTACTTATATGTATATATCATCACACCCCGCGCTGCCACTTTGAATTATCATCGCGCTTCTAACGACGGAACGACGATTATTTTTACTCGTTGGCATTTGCATTACGGTACACGCCAAACCGGCTCGTCAAACTTTATCCACGCAGCGTCGCGGCTAATGTTTCGCGACTGCTTTATCGCCACACCGATGACTTACCGGGAATTTTTACAGCTAAACAACACAAGAGTGCGTGTACTAAAACAGAAAAAAAATGTATGAAAAATTCGATTAAATTTGAGAGGCGAAAATATACTCAAAAAACCGGATTGTTTATAGTCCGCGATAATGCACTTGTGCCAGGGGGTTCGAAGGTGTACATTAAGGCCGCGATGAGGGAGTATAGATATGCGAAAATCGTGAAGCTCGTGGTATAGTAAAA